AAATAAGTATTTGATCCCCTTCACATAACATGACTTAGTACTTGGTGGCAAATCCCTTGTTGGCAATCACAGAGGTCAGATGTTTCCTGTAGTTGGCCACCAGGCTTGCACACATCTCAGGAGGGATTTTTGCCACTCCTCTTGGCAGCTGCTCTCCAAGTCATTAAGGTTTGGTGGCTGACGTTTGGTAACTCAAACTTTCAGCTCCCTCCACAGATTTTAAATCGGATTAAGGTCTGGAGACTGGCTAGGCCACTCCAGGACCCTAATGTGCTTCTTCTTTAGCCTCTCCTTTGTTGCCTTGGCCATGTGTTTTGGGTCATTGTCATGCTGGAACACCCACCCACGACCCATTTTCAATGCCTTGGCTGAGGGAAGAAGGTTCTCACCCAAGATTTGACGATACATTGCCCCGTCCATCATCCCTTTGATGCGGTGCAGTTGTCCTATCCCGTTAGCAGAAAAATACCCCCAAAGCAGAATGTTTCCACCACCATGTTTGACAGTTGGGATGGTGTTCTTGGGGTCATAGGCAGCATTCCTCCTCCTCCAAACACGGAGCATTGAGTTGATGCCAAAGAGCTTGATTTTGGTCTCATCTGACCACAACACTTTCAACCAGTCCTCCTCTGCATCATTCAGATGTTCAGTGGCAAACTTCAGACGGGCCTGGAAATGTGCTTTCTTGAGCAGAGGGACCTTGCGGGCACTGCAGGATTTTAATCCTTGTCGGCGTTGTGTGTTACCAAATGTTTTCTTGGTGACTGTGGTCCCAGCTGCCTGGAGATCATTGACAAGATCCTCACGTGTAGTTCTGGGATGATTCCTTTACTGTTCTCATGATCATTGACACTCCACGAGGTGAGATCTTGCATGGTGCACCAGACCTAGGGAGACTGACAGTTGTTTTGTGTTTCTTCCATTTGCGAATGATTGCACCAACTGTTGTCACCTTGTCATCAAGCTGCTTGACGATAGTTTTGTAGCCCAGTTCAGCATTGTGTAGGTCTACAATCTTGCCCCTGACATCCTTGGACAGCTCTTTGGTCTTTGCCATAGTGGAGAGTTTGGAATCTGATTGTTTGATTGCTCCTGTGGACAGGTGTCTTTTATAGAGGTAACAAAATGAGATTAGCAGCACTCCTATTAAGAGACTGCTTCTAATCTCAGCTTGTTACCTGTATGAAAGACACCTTGTAGCCAGAAATCCTGCTGAATGATAGGGGATCAAATACTTATTTCCCTCATGAACATGCAAATCAGTGCATCATTTGTTAGACATGCTTTTCTTTTGAATTTTGTGTTGCTATTCTGTCTCTCTGTGTTACAATACACCTACCGTTCGATTTTTAGACTGATCATTTCTTTGTGAGTGGTCAAACATTCTAAATCTGCAGGAGATCAAATAGTTATTTCCTTCACTATATGTCATTCTTGCCTAGGTGATAGAGACATAAACCCAAGCTGCATATAAAAATGATGGTACCAAGATGCAGGCAGCAGGGTCGCTTCGGTGAGATTCGGTTGAGGAACCACCCTACTGTTGCTTTCTACTATCCCCGTCTCCCAAACCCCTCTCTCCTCTCTCTTCTCCTCTTTTGCTTTCCTTTCCGCTGGCTTTCCCCCCCCCCCCCTCTTTTTTTCCCTTTCTTTTTTTTAGTTTACATTTTTGGTTGTATAGAGTTCTCTCATATTGTTTCAGACATCCGCACGGCGAAGCCCCCCTGATACTCTGTTATGTTATACCTCTGTAATATCAGTTATTGATCCTTTCCTCTTGCAGTTTTACTGCATCATTTTCATACATCCACATGGATCATACTCTCATCTGTGATGATGTTTTTTTTTGTTTATTTACTTGTACATGCTCTTTATACTTCTCATGTTACGTCTGTTAAATTTATGCAAAATAATAAAGACAAATTTGCCTTTAAAAATGAAGGTATTCCCCCTACCCCAAAAAAACGTGGCAAAAGAGGGGAGAAAGAGAGATATTATTTAGGCAAAAAAAGGGGTAAAGGTCTGTTGATGACTTCAATAAGTAAAATCTCTTCATTATTCTGCTTTACAATTCAGTCTTTTTCATGTTATCAATACCCTCCCTCAACATTGTCAGAAGAGTCCGGTCTAATTGAAACTATGTGCAGATACTTCTTGACAGCATTATCACTTCTGAAAGGCCAGTGTTTTAGCTGGTGGCCATATCTTGCTAAGAACTTAGGAAGACAGGAAGGTAAAGGGGCAAGATAATAATTTTGCATAATGAGCTACCTAAAGACATAGATGGTGTGATTTTCTTTCCTGCAACCACCTCGATTCTCCCATCAACATAGTCAGTGTTGATGGGGAATCCCTCCCGTGGCGCCACTGCATTCTCCCGGCAGGGGGAGCCGTCACCGTCCGGGAGAACACAGTGATTACTGCTAGTGATGGGCCGAACATTCATCGACAACGAACTTTGAACCCAGGGAATAATTTGGTAAGCGGTATCTTACCGCATTCGAATATGCAGTAAGATACCGCACAGCATTTTTCCAAAAATGTTGGCATTCACTAAAAAACACTACTAAAATACAAAAAGTCATATGGTATTTTTGTAGTGAAAACATGTGTTAATGTTTCAGCTGTCAGCCGGGTTCCCCACTGACAGCTGAATGTAAAAAGAATTGCCGGCAATTAAAAATTTTGCAAAAAAAAAAAAAAAAAGACGTGGGGTCCCCCCCCAACCATTCCAAGCCCTTCAGGTCTGGTATGGATTTTGAGGGGAACCACCACCTCCAAATTTTTTTTAAAAATGGTCCCCCCCCCCCCAAAATCCATACCATACCTTTATCCGAGCATGCAGCCTGGTGGGTCAGGAAAGGGGGGGATGAGCGAGCACCCCCCAAACCATACCAGGTTACATGCTCTCAACATGAGTGCTGTTTTGGGGCAGGGAGGGCTCCCCCCCAAAGCACCTTGTCTCCATGTTGATGGGGACAAGGGTCTCTTCCCCACAACCCTGGCCGGTGGTTAAGGGGGTCTGTGGGCAGGGGGCTTTAATAAAGGGGCCCCAGATCCTGGCCCACCCCATGTAAATGAGTATGGGGTACATGGTACCACTACTCATTCACAAAAAAAAAGGTGTAGTGTAAAAAATAACAGTAGAAGTCCTTTATTAAAACAAAAAAATGTAAAAATGTCCCCTGAAGTAGATCCAACATCAATCCCAATGCCCGCCGCCATCGCCGACACAAAAAAAAAAAAAAAAAGCTCTGCTCCCTGCTGGGTCAAGTATGTCACAAGGCTCCCCCTCCCAAAGCACCTTGTCCCCATGTTGCTGGGGACAAGAGACACTTCCCCACAACCCTGGGTTGTGGGGATCTGCAGGGAGTGATTTGTCGGAATCTGAAAGCCCCCAGATCCTGGCTTCCCCCTTGTGAATGAGTATGGGGTACATAGTACCTCTACCCATTCACCAAAAAAGTGTAAAATGTGAATAAAACTACAATAACAAGCCAAAACAATGGTTCTATCGATTTAATCCTTTGTCAATCATGGCGTCCAGCGTTGTCCCGACAACGCGCTGAAATAAAAAAAAACTCAACGCCCACAGACCCGTCCGCATCTGCCTAGCACTCACCGCTATCTGACATTTGCCAGTCAGATGTAAACAATTGGGGAGAGCTAGCAGCGACATCACCGCTAACTCCGCCTAATTGTGTTGTAATTGACCAAAGCATTGCACCTGACCTGTAGTCAGGTACATTGCTTTGGCCAATCACAATGCACTGTCAGAGCGCAGTGCATTGTGGGGTGTGGCAGGCGAACAGCTTGCCGAATGTCCTAACGGTTCTTGTGCTTGCAGAACACACGAACACCCGATGTTGGAGTCGAACTTATGTTCGACTCAAATATCAAAGACAACCCTAATTATTGTTAGCAGCTACAATAGTCGCTAGCATTAATTGCATGTAAACCCTAACAGGCTGGTTGTACCCAAGCTGATTGATCAATCAACTTGGGTGCATTCAACCTGCCCATACATGGTTCGACTCTCGGCCGGTCCCTGCTAAACTATGGCCAGCTTAGTCCCAGGACATGTTTCTTTATTGTTTTTTTTTGTTTTTCTCAGGCAGTACTCAGGTTGCATTGCCATCCATGTGATCCCTAATGGCCTCACAATTAAAAAAAATTTAAATTAATTAATAATGTACTGTATATATCTCAATACAAAATGCATTTTAAAAATAAAAAAGCATAAAAACCTACCATCTCTGCATGCAAAAATCTTACAAAACACAAAATGCATAAAAAATGTGCCAAAAACGCAAGTGCAAAAACTTGTCAAAAATGCAAGTGCAAAAATGCAAAACACAATACAGAAACCGCTCAAAAGCAACCTGCATAGGTGTGAACCTAAGGCTCGGCAGATCTATTTTTTTTATTTAGGCTAGGATCACAGCTATGCAGGTTGCGTTTGAGCCGGTTCTGCATTGCGTTTTGTGTTGCGTTTGCATTTTTTCACTTGCATTTTTGACGCGTGTTTGATGCGTTTTTTTTTTTTTCATTTTTGTAATTTTTCTAGTTGCTAGGCAGATTTAAAACGCAAAACGCATCAAAAACGTGGCAAAAACTCAGCAAAAACGCAGTACATGCTTTTCTGCAGTGTTTCGATTGACGTCTATAGAAACAACTACGCAACTTTTTGCGTTATAAAAATGTCCCTGACCCTTTCCAAAAAATACAACAGGTGAAAACGCACAGGTGTGAACATGTCCCATAGGAAATCATGTTAATTGGACTGTACTGCGTTTCTGCAAAACACTGCATGTATACTGCAAGTACACTCCTGGGGCCCCCGGGCAATAGGGGATCATGGGGCCCCTATGTCCTTGCCCACACTCAAAAAAAGCCTATAAAAAGGTACCAGGGGCATTTCATGGGGCCCCCTACTGACCCCGGCAGTGCTCGAATGGTCAGTCCGCCCCTAGTGTGAACCTAGGGTAAAGAGGTTTTACTAAGTGCTTTTGCACACACAGCTGTTGCACAGAGCTGTGATTGCCACATCCACGAGGAGATGAGGCAAAGAGATATTTTGTGCTCCCTCTGGGATGGTGACGGTAGACCCCCACATAAACCATCACAAAAAAGCATGATTCCTCACCTCCATTTGCTGCTCCTGTCCCTGCAACACCCTGTGCCATGGACTATAGCTTTTCCACCTGCAGCTATGCCTCCAGTGTGAGGGTTCAGATTTACTTTCACGATTTTCTTACTTTACGGTGGTTCAACAAAAGCCCCGTGAACAGGGGTGGACTGACAACTCATGGGGCCCCCCCGGGCAATAGGGGATCATGGGGCCCCTGTGTCCTTGCCCACACTCAAAGCACACCCAAAAAAGCCTATAAAAAGGTACCAGGGACATCTCATGGGGCCCCCTACTGACCCCGGGCAGTGCCCGAGTGCTCGAATGGTCAGTCCGCCCCTGCCCGTGAACCAATCCCAAGCACATTTGCCTATTCTTAGTGTACGTTCAGCTATCTGATCTACATGACTAGTCAGTAAAAATAATGGGTTTGGGTTCAGCACAACCTTATAAAAATGTTTTTTTAAGCTGAAATCTATAAATAAGCAATTGCGAAAAAAGACGCATCTAAAGTAAAACAAATAGCACTGAGCATTTCTACTTTCTTTAATTAAGATGAGCCTGTAAAAGGAAGAGAACAGATGACACATAAACTAACAAGTTCCTGTGGATTGTTTCTCATATAAAGCGATATTGTCGCCAACCTCTCCCAGTGACTAAATTCCTAAATTGGTATGTTGCCATTTATTTAGAGTGTTATATGACAGCTGTATAGACTTAATTTTTTATGCTATAATTACTCTTTAGTCAGTAATTGATCTATTCTAGCTTATTGAAGTCTTAGTTTAATATACTGGAATACGTCACTAATTCACAGAATAATTGTCTCTACTAGAAATGCTATGCTTGTCATATTTGCCAGATATATATATAATATATATATATATATGTCTTATCATTTTAAAAAACAAAAATGACACTTAAAAGAGTAAAATAATAGACTCTGTAGATGTATAGTATATCCTCATTGCTTATACAGGCTATTATAAATGTCTGCAATTAATGTAAAAAATAACCATAATTGCTTGCTTAATTACCATTCTGCTTTACACTTGTAACAAAAGAGATGTTTACGATGTTAATAAAAAATTCACATACTATTTGAAAACTAAGACTTCATGAAATGCATGTCACTACATCATTATATGATTGCTCATAAATATATTATGATAGCTGACAGTCTTTTTCAGATTTCGTTTCTACAATCTGTTTAAGTTTATTTCTCATTTCAATTCATGTATAAAGTACAAAACCTTTACATAACACATAGAAATAATCATAGCCTTAGTAAAATCTACAGCGTTATGACCTCCGAACAGGCATCAATAGGGATGTCACTAATCCTGGGCATCCAGGAAAGAGCCCCCCTTCTCTTGCAGGGTGCCACAGGTCCTGACAACTGAAACAGCCTGTCATTGTGGCAGGCAGCATCTCTCTCCACTTTGCATCCAATCAAGGAAATATAATTCAGAGCTAAAGAAAGCATTTGCATTTTGCATTTTTATTTGGGGAGAATTTTAACTTGCAGAGGAATTTTGTGCTTTTAATGGAAGAACATAAGTAAGCAGATTAGTGTTGGATTTGTTTGAGGGGGTATTGTTTGCAGAGGAGGTTTGCACTCCCCTAACCTTTGCATTATGTGTGCTATTTATCCTAAGCCCTGCAGTCTGTGCATTACACACCCCTGACCCCTACAGTCTGTGCATTACACACCCCTGACCCCTGCAGTCTGTGCATTACACACCTCTGACCCCTGCAGTCTGTGCATTACATACCCCTGACCCCTACAGTCTGTGCATTACACACCGCTGACCCCTGCAGTCTGTGCATTACACACCCCTGACCCCTGCAGTCTGTGCATTACACACCCCTGACCCCTGCAGTCTGTGCATTACACACCCCTGACCCTTGCAGTCTGTGCATTACACACCCCTGACCCCTGCAGTCTGTGCATTACACACCCCTGACCCCTGCAATCTGTGCATTACACACCCCTGACCCCTGCAGTCTGTGCATTACACACCCCTGACCCCTGCAATCTGTGCATTACACACCCCTGAACCCTGCAGTCCGTGCATTACACACCCCCCTGACCCCTGCAGTCTGTGCATTACATACTCTTGATCCCTGCAGTCTATGTATTAAACACCCCTGATCCCTATGTGCATTATTTGCCTCTGTTCTTGTATCATTACCCCTGCAATTTGTGCATTACACATGCTTGAGCCTTGCACTCTTGCATTACACACTCCTTACCCCTGCATTATGTGCAATATACACTCTTGATCTCTGTACGTGACACACTCCTATCCCCCGCAGTATGACACACCTCTGTCCCCTGCATTCTGTGTTACACACTTCTAACAGCTGCACTCTATGTGCTATAAATAAGTGACTTCTGTGCATTATATGTCCCTAACCCCTGCACTCTGAGCATTACATACCACTGAGCCTTGCACTGTGTGTTTATGTACCACTGACCCCTACATTCTGGGTATTACAAATCCTTGACTCTTGCATTACACAATCCTAACCTCTGCACTTTGTGTGTGGTACACCCGACCCCCGCATTCTGTGTGTTACACCTTCATGCTATGCCTTATAAAGTCCTGACCCCTGCATGGGGTGCATTGCACACCCCTGACTCCTGCACTCTGTGTATTATGTTCTTCAAACCTGGTACTTTGTGTGCTATCTATTCCTGATTCCTGCACTCTTCACAATACACACACCTTACCCCCTGCACTGTGTGCATTAAAGACTCCTGATAATATCCTATAGGTTGGCTTTAATAAAATTAAACATCCTCTATTTGTTGTAAAATAAAATCCCTGTTATTAAAATTGGCCATTGATACACTGTATTGGAGTGTACTCACCTTGTGCTGCCATCGCAGCCTGGTTTATATCATTTAGTATGCTCAACTGTACACCTTTTTTGTGTTAGTTATGTTAATTCCTAGTTTCTAGACAATCTTAGCCTCCACATGCTCTCATGTTTCACCTTCATTGAGTAAGAAGGACTTTTACAGAGCCAGAAGGCTTTAGATCAGAATATGTTTTTATCTACAAAATGATACACACGCAAATACAGTACATACCTTCTAAAGCTAGTATGGATTAACTACATTGGATTTTTTTTCCAAGTCTTCGTGTGAGTTTATACTGCTTGTGAATCTTGTTGAGTGAACAAATTGCTGTAATACAGATAGGGCCTCGGGAGGTATGTCTTTTACACAATGTATAAGGAAAATAATATACACATTAAAAGTCTTATGGCTTATCTGCAAAAATCAAACTCCGGTGCTGCTAGAGGAAAGACATCTATTCTGAGCATGAATATGGGCACTTATCTCCATACGAAGCTACAGAAAAAAAACACTACCAATTGAACTGTATTAGGTAAGTTCAGTCTCAAATCCATGAGAAAATGTGAAATGTGTGTTCAGTCTAACCCCTAAACACAAACAGAATTTTTGTTGTTTTCCTGCAAGCTTCCATCTCTGCATGCACTATTTCAACAGCTGACTCTGTCTTCATCATTGCTATTTCAAAAATACATAAGAAGACTATTATCGCAAAGAAGTAACAACAACAAGGATGATAAAAAAATATATTGGTTAAAATAGAATACAGCATAGAGCAAACATTTAAAAAATGTGTCCACCATTTTATGTATCCATTTAGATCACGGGTCTCCAATCTTTCTAAACAAGGGGCCAGTTTGCTGTCCTTCAGACTTTAGGGGATCCTGCCTTTGGCCAGTGGAGGTAGAAAATGTCCTGGTGTCAGGGGGTGTAAACCATGCCACCTCTGTAGTAGGAGGAATAGAGTCCAATTGTTGGAGTCAGTGCGAGGAATCATGCCCCATCATTGGTATCAGTGGGAGGAATAGTGCCCCATTGTTGGTGTCAGTGGGAGGGATTTTGCTCTATCATTGGTGTCAGAGAGAGGAATAGTTCACAATTGTAGGTGTCAGTGGGAGAAACAGTGCCCCATCATTGGTGTCAGTGGGCGAAATAGTGACCCATCATTGGTGTCAGTGGGAGGAATAGTGCCCCATCATCGGTTTCAGTAGGAGGAATAGTGCCCCATCATCGGTTTCAGTAGGAGGAATAGTGCCCCATAATTGGTGTCCATGGGAGGATGAGTGACCCATTATTGGCATCAGTGACAGAAATTTTGCCCCATTGTTGGTGTCAGTGGGCCGTCACTGGTATCAGTGGGAGGAATAGCGCCCCGTTGTTGGTGTCAATGGCAAGAATTATGCCCTCATTGTTGGTTTCGGTAGGAGGAATTGTACCCCAGGGGCCAGATAAAGGAAAGCAAAGGGCCACATCTGACCCCCGGGCCGCAGTTTGGAGATTTTAGGAAATAAGAGCTGTTTTGGAGATAAATCAGTACAGAAAAAGTTTGAAAGAAATTTTAGTGCAAAAAAAAGTGTTTAAACATTTAGGATATCCAGAGAACAAAGAAATCAAGCAAATCACTGGTTTTCCTTTTAGTTACACAGTGTGTGTGTATATATATATATATATATACAGTGGGGATCGAAAGTTTGGGCACCCCAGCTAAAAATTTGTATTAATGTGCATAAAGAAGCCAAGGAAAGATGGAAAAGTCTCCAAAAGGCATCAAATTACAGATTAGACATTCTTATAATATGTCAACAAAAGTTAGATTTTATTTCCATCATTTACACTTTCAAAATAACAGAAAACAAAAAAATGGCGTCTGCAAAAGTTTGGGCACCCTGCAGAATTTATAGCATGCACTGCCCCCTTTGGCAAGTATCACAGCTTGTAAACGTTTTTTGTAGCCAGCCAAGAGTTTGAGGTATCTTTGCCCATTCTTCCTTACAAAAGTCTTCCAGTTCTTTGAGATTTCTGGGCTGTCTGTCACGCACTGCTCTTTTAAGGTCTAGCCATAGATTTTCAAGTATGTTGAGGTCAGGAGATTGTGAAGGCCATGGCAAAACCTTCAGTTTACGCCTCTTGATGTAATCCCCCGTGGATTTCGAGGTGT